CCTTCCTGTGCTCCCTTGACACCCACTCCAAGTTCTTGAGGCCAAAAATATGTGAGTAGAACTCAAGTCACTCTCTTCTCTTTGCCCAGTCCTCCTTCTTTGGTGAGTTTTTAAGCAAATTAGAAAATCGTCTTCTCAGTGTCTTTCCTTGAGAAATCTTAGAACTGGCATGTGACATAAGAAAAAAATCCCACTGTCAAACTCCAAAGCGAATCACAGTTTTAGCAGGAGGTTGTGTGAAATGTAAACTGTAAAACTGTGTAAACTATTAAGAAAGATCTTGCCGAAATCATCGGCTGGATAGTGGAGCACAGAATACAGAGCAGAGGACTTGCCATTTATCAGTCATTCAATTAAACACACCAACCCAAAAGAGAACTCCTCAAAGGAAATCGTTTTATAGCACATAATGAAACACAAAACCAAACCAAACTTGTCTCTGACTTTTTTTTTTTAAAGGGCTGTTTAAAAAGATAGCTGGAGAGTGTGGGAGAGTGTGTACCACTTCCCCCAGATTTGCTGTGCAGAAGTGCAGGAGTGTGAGTGATATAGAGGTACTTGTTTATTATAGAGCACATTTCAATGCAGTAATCATAAATATTGCTAAGGTTGTGCTCCGTTGAAATATGACCTACATACTCTTGATTGTTTGTGTTACGTGATTTGTCTGACACCCATTACATTCTGGGTAATAGCAGCCATTTGTTGCTCTGCACAGCAGGCTCTTCTGACAAAAGAAAATAGGCAGCAATAAAAAAGCTATAGTCTGAATTACATTCTGCACAGTGCTGCACTGCTGAGAGTTTGTGCAAGTGTGTTAACAATGTTCTGAACTGCCTCTTGTCAGCCTTCAGCCTGTAATGGCCATCTGTCCTCACATAAATCTGTCAAAACCTGCTAAGTTCAAGAGAGAGCATGGAATATACCTTGTACTGTCAACACCAAAATGTACACATTCCCCAGAAAATCAACACACAGGAAATAATCCGGAGGTTATGGGAGGCATTAGCCCGGTTGATTTAGGCTTGTGGGCTGAAATTGAGAGTCCGGCAATTAGTGGGAAGATGACAAAGGTAGTGGGGTTGAGGAATTGATTATTGACTGCCCTTCTACCGCAGGGGAAAACATTCTGGGTGGAGGACATGGGGTTAGAGAAATCTAATTAGTTCAGGTGCAGCAAAGCGTTCCCTGGCACAACTCCTAAAAGCTGGACATCACGTTAAAAAAAAAAAAAAAAAAAAAAAAAGCTTCTTCCACTTTTATTTATTTATTTATTATTATTATTTTATTTTTTTCCGGTATGCGGGCCTCTCACTGCGGTGGCCTCTCCCGTTGCGGAGCACAGGCTCAGCGGCCATGGCTCACGGGCCCAGCTGCTCCGCGGCATGTGAGATCTTCCCGGACCGGGGCACGAACCCCCGTCCCCTGCATCGGCAGGCGGACACTCAACCACTGCGCCACCAGGGAAGCACCCCTTCTTACCCTTTTGTTTCGCTTTGTTTTGTTTTACTCTGGATCTCAACCCTATCTGGGAATAGATTTTCAATGAGGCACTGGTGACACGCAGTCTCGTGATCCTTAGGATGTCTCAGTCTTGCTCTGGGGTATTCTCCTCGGATTAAAGAAGTTTCAGTAAACAGTCAAAAGGTTAGGGAATGATCTGAATTATTTTTCCCTGCCCACCGACTCACTAATCCTAAAATAACTTCCATCTACTAAGAGAGTATTATTTAATGAGCAGGGCCGTATGAAATTTCTAGCCCTGATATTTTCACTCACAGGGTATATCTGGTTATCTCAGGGTGTTTCCGTAAGTTTTAAGCAGATACACAAGAAAATCTGTACTTACTGCAGATTTTAAAGAATGATCTCTTTATGAAGTCCTGGGGACTGAATCCCTGAAATGCCAGCATTTGGTGGAATATTCAGCACATAGTAGGTGCTGAGTGAAAGTTTGTTTAATTGCCACAGGCCATCTAAAATGAAAAGGAAGTAAAAGGCTTTGTTTTTAACGCCAAGAAACTCTAATCATGTGTTAGCGCTCCCAAGAGCAACTTGAGAATCGGTTATTTAAGCGATAATGAGCTTAGGTACTAGGACAAGGGTTTCAAATGTTCAAGACGAAAAAGAATTTCTATATTTAAAATCCCTAGATAGCTGAGCTATTTTTAGAACTAGTCTCTCTTTAATAGTGGCCTAATTTGGTGTTTCTGAAGTTTAGGGTTTCTTTTTATAAGTCTAGAATGTCAGTCAAAATATATCTACCTGAGATCAAGGCAAGGTGCCACATAGACACGGCGGGACAGTGGCTCTCCATAAGTGGTCTATGAACCGTGTCATTAAAAATATTTGACCAGCTTCCCAAGTGATCCGTGGGCCACTGAAATGGGACACCTACTAGTAAAGGAGGATCTAGAAAAATAAAAACGAGTGAAACATTTTGCAAAAATAAGCCCGAGCAATATTCCACTGAGAGCTTCTCATCTGTCTGGAGAGACAAGATATAATTCACATTCAAAAAGAGATAAGCGTGAAAATATAGCAGTATCTGGTAAGTGAGTGATCCTGGCAGTAAATTATTGGAAAAGTAAAAATTACCCCCATTCAGAGTATCATGAAAAGATCTATGAAGTTGTATTTGAGGATGTTGAATGTCATTTCCCCCAATTCAAGGGCTATCTCATTTGGAATATTTGACTGTTATTTACTCCGCAGAGAGATTATTCATCATTATTTCTTTGAGCATCTTAGCTTCCTGTGAGAAATATTTGAGATGTTGTCATTTCTTTGCTGGGAATTGGTATCTTTACATTTGTTGTAGCAGTAATTGAAGGTAGCATGTGGTTGAAATCAGTGTGTATGAATGGGGCAGTGCAAAGGGTAGAGGAAACAAGCAGAGAGAGAGACGGACAAACAGAAAGATAGACAGGGTAAGAAAGAAAGCACGGAAAGGAAGGGGAGAAGGAGATGGAGTGGGAAATGGGAGGAATAGGAAGAGACGGAGGAGGGGAAAGAGGGGAAGGAGGGAAGGAGGAGAGAAAATTGGCCACATAGGAATTCCTTAGAGTGAGTAAAAGATATACTTGTCTATGAAAGAGGGAACACAAGGAGAGTGAACTTCAGTGACATAGATGATTCCTTCAGTAATGTCACCTCCCTATTATCTTCAAGCAAAGAATGGGGGGCAGGCTGATGAAGGGAAGCTTTTCTGAGACTCAGATGTGTCACGAAGCGATAGCAGTGTCTCCTTCTCTTTGTGTTTGCATTTCCCTGTCTTTCTTTCTGAACTTTTCTGGGATAGATGTCCAAAGTCAAACCTCTTTGCATTTTTGTATGTTTCCTTCCCTCCTTTAGGGAGAATTAGCTATGTATAATAAAAGTTGCCAAATATCGGTGCAAAATATTTCATTTTAAGGAAAATATTAATTTCTTCTATCTCTTTATTGTCAAGTAGGGGAGAGAGGCAGTGTCTTCCTGTTCATACCAAAACTTCATGTAGCTTTCTGTGCCCTACTTGGTTATGTGTGTGTATGTATGTGTGTGTGTCAAGGTAGAATTTTCCTTGAAGCATGCAGTCGCCTTAAGTCCAACCCCAGGCTTCTTGTGGACTTAAGTTCTTTTTTGCTGAAGAGCATCCTCCCGTCCTCCTAAATAAAAAGTGTATTGTAAACTAAACTGTTCCCTTGTAAGCATAAAGTCATTTGAACTGCAGCCTGCCCTTCTTCAAAGTTCCGTCGACTCTGGAGCTTTTCCACAATTCTTCCTTGGCATAAAGGGCTGAGGAGGACTTAGGGGTGAAACTGAACAGAGATAACTAGCCTTCACACACTCTCCCACAATGACCTGTGATGGAATTTTCTGCCTTCTGTAGAAAAGCACAAAAGGCAACAACTGACAGATTCCCCCTCTTCTTCCTTTCGTTTTTTTTTTCATTTTTTCAACTAGTTAGTTGCCCAAGCTTGGATTCGTTTCAATCCTTCAGCCTCGCAACCCGCCCTGATGTGGTGCTCCAGATAAAATGGTCCGCTGGCACCGCAATATTTAGTGTTACTGTTCACTTAAGTTTCTGTTGCAGAGCCATATTTTCGACAGAATGTATTAGTTATGCTTACAAGAATGTACTATACCTACATTAGCCATGGTTTACAAAGTTAATGAACTGTGGAGACAAAGAATCATTGCCATCATGTTGTAGAGTTGTCTGGTGCCCTGCATTAGCCGGCTGCATTTTACTGAACTTACTTTGATGTTGCCAATGTCATTCCCACCCTCCCCCCCCCCCAGTTGCTGTCATCCCATCTTTTCTTTTCTTTTCTTTTCTTTTTAAAGTTGCCTAATTCTTTGGCTCCATGGGTAGATATCCTTGATTTTACAAAAATTCCTGACCTACATGCATCCTCCCCAGCATTCTTTGCAGACAAATTTCCCCCCCCCCCCCCCCCCCAGTTGCTGTCATCCCATCTTTTCTTTTCTTTTCTTTTCTTTTTAAAGTTGCCTAATTCTTTGGCTCCATGGGTAGATATCCTTGATTTTACAAAAATTCCTGACCTACATGCATCCTCCCCAGCATTCTTTGCAGACAAATGCCACCAAAGGTCTTCTATGATTTCCCTGTGTCCCTACCATGTTAATTTTCCACAACTAAGACTGTGAGAAGCCCCTGTAAATCTGAGCTTTTGTAATGCCTGGTGGTGACGTGGTCATGTTTCCTGGGAAGCAGGATCAAGTTAGCATTGGCGTTTGAAATACAAAATATCATGGCTTTTACCACAGCCTCATATTGTAGCTCCATCTTTTCTTGGTGACAGAAGCTTCGGGAGACAGAGTCACTTTTTCCGGTCTTATCATGAATTTAGTTTCCTTCCTTTTCACTGAGTTTTAACCATTGTCTGAAATCTTGGAAAAGTTAGGAAAACATATCCTGGCATTTAACAACATATCTCTGTCTCTTTTCTTTCTCTCTCTCCCCTCCCCTTTTTTTTTTTCTTTTATTATCTTAGGCCTAACTCCACCCACAACTCCTCCTCATAAAGCCAACCAAGATAACCCTTTTAGGGCTTCTCCAAAGCTGAAGCCCTCTTGCAAGACTGTGGTACCTCCGCCATCAAAGAAGGCCCGGTACAGTGAGTCTTCCGGTATCCAAGACAATAACTCCACCAGGAAAGGGCCCGAGCAGTCTGAGTTGTACGCACAGCTCAGCAAGACCTCCGTGCTCACCAGTGGACACGAGGAAAGGAAGGCCAAGCGGCCCAGTCTGCGGCTGTTTGGTGACCATGACTATTGTCAGTCAATTAATTCCAAAACGGAAGTACTCATTAATATATCACAGGAGCTCCATGACTCCAGACAACTAGAATATAAAGATGCCTCCTCCAACTGGCAGGGGCAGATGCGCTTTTCCACAGATTCAGACCAGTGCTACCTGAGAGAGGCCTCGGGGGTGAGCAGGCAGGTCTCTCCCGGCAGCACCAGAAAACAGCTCCAAGACCAGGAAATCCGAGCTGAGCTGAACAAGCACTTCGGTCATCCCAGTCAAGCTGTTTTTGACGACGAAGCAGACAAGACCAGTGAACTGAGGGACAGTGATTTCAGTAATGAACAATTCTCCAAACTACCTATGTTTATAAATTCAGGACTAGCCATGGATGGCCTGTTTGATGACAGCGAGGATGAAAGTGATAAACTGAACTCCCCTTGGGACGGCACGCAGTCCTATTCATTGTTCCATGTGTCGCCTTCTTGTTCTTCTTTTAACTCTCCATGTAGAGATTCCGTGTCACCACCCAAATCCTTATTTTCTCAAAGACCCCAAAGGATGCGCTCTCGTTCACGGTCCTTTTCTCGACATAGGTCGTGTTCTCGATCACCATATTCCAGGTCAAGATCAAGGTCCCCAGGCAGTAGATCCTCTTCAAGGTAAACCTTGTCAAAACCCACCCCAAGCCTAAGGCGTCCCCAGGAAGTGAAAAAAAACAAAGGCAAAAAACGCATTCAAAACCCACAGGCAGCCCAGCCCCTCAGCAACCATTCCCAGTGCCACAGGAACTAAGGAGATTGTTGTGACCCACACATTCCTCCCCATCTTCTCTTAAATCTGTCATTCTTGAACACAGTGCCTTGAGCCAGTCAGATCAGAGAGAGCAATTTGTAAGAAACTTGCTCATCTAACTTTTTCCATTACCTGGAGAGCTGCCTTGTGCCAGGATAGGTGAGATCCATGCAAGATAAAGCTGACAGTGTACCAGGCCGGCGTTCGGCATTCACATCAATAAGAGACGCTGCAAGAGAACACGTCACTCCAGACCTCTAAGCTGACTAGATGATCACAAACTGTCACTGGGAAATCTCACAAGTAGCTGGGAACTGAAAGCCGGTTTATGTAATGCGGAATTCCAGGGGCTGTTCAGTCATGCCGATAAACTGGGGTTCAACTGGCAGTTGCAAATGCCCTTCTGTTTTTCCTCCTCTCTCCCAGATCTTGCTACTACTATGAGTCAGGCCACTGCAGACACCGCGCGCACCGAAATTCTCCCCTGTGCGCGAGATCACGTTCAAGATCGCCCTACGGCCGGCGGCCCAGGTAACGATACACGTCCTTTTCCCTCCGCGCCTCTCATCTCCTCCCGTAGATGACAAGATGTTTTCTAAAACCCTGCCCCCTCCCCAATTTCCGATTAATTTTGCTCATGCGATTGGAGGTGGTTGCCTTAATGATGAAGTTATGTTTCTCAGGTATGACAGCTACGAAGAGTATCAGCACGAGAGGCTGAAGAGGGAAGAATACCGCAGAGAGTATGAGAAACGGGAGTCTGAAAGGGCCAAACAGAGAGAGAGGCAAAGGCAGAAGGCAATTGTAAGCAGCTTGGAGCTTACTTTCATTTTACAGGAGGGCTTCTTTTCTTTTTTTCTCCTGTCTTTTCTTTTCGTGGGGGTGGGCATAGATTAGAAAATGAGGTAAAGACTCTTGTTAGAATATGCAATACTCAGCCTTTTGGCTTTAAAGCATCAGTGAGTCCTCAGTCCCTCTTAACACAGACTATTGGGAAGCGAAATGTTAGCTCAGTGTATTTCTCCTCCATACTACCTGTTTCTCATTCATCTTGAAGCTCATTACTGTTTTCGACCTTTGTTTCTAAAAATGGAGGAAGGAGAGATTTGTCCAGTCAGATACTGGTCCCATCGAGCCAGAGGATGAGTTCTTTGTATTGTTCTCTGCTGCTTTTTTTCTCTGAGTGGAAAATGAAGAGATATCACTATTTGGTTTCAGTTTTCGTCTTTTTGGCAGACGTGAGGGTTGGATTGAGTTAGATTTAAAGGCAGTGGTAGAGAAAGACTTGCTAAGAAAGTCATCATTTCTTCCTTGTGCCAGGTCAACAACTAACACATCCATATTTCTTATGAACTGCTTTTCAATAACCTATTATGGATTTCAGCACCATGTACTGCAGGGTATTACATTCACTTGACCTATAAACAGTACTGACCCTTTGGGGTACGGATCTAGGTTATGTGCATCTAGTTCGTTCCCTGTTGGTCGGACCTTAGAAGGCAAAAAGGAGGTCCTCCAGTTGTCAGCATCCAGTACTTGTTCAAGGCAGATATTCCTAACTGATTAAGGAAATCTTTCCCACTGAGCCCCAATAGAGCCTTGAGGGCTTTCCCAACATGGTGCTCTAGGCAGCCATGGCATATCCACTGGAAATGACACTGTTTTCATTCATTGCAGCTGCTGTCTGTTACCTGCTAAACGTCATTTCAATGAAGATCAACCTTTGACGCATCTTGCATACAAGCTAACCAGGGCTTAGGGAAATGATTTTTAGCTGTAAATGTTAGATGGATATGGTACCTTTAAAACAACCCACAACCATCAACAAAATCTTGAAAAACCTACATAGAAGAGCTGACTAATAGAGTCCAAATCGAGCGTTGGCCAACGGTTATCAACTGGAGGAAAAAGGTTAACTGAGAGGTTTGTTAACTCAGGCACTCAAGGAGAAAGAAGGGAGAAGTAATTGAATACTTAGGCTAAAGATCTAGGGCTTTGCTGCCATTTAACTTTGAATCTTCCTAAGACCAAATTAAAGGCCTTGTGAAAATTATAACACTTTCCCTCATTTTTCTCAACTTTCAAATGAGCTGTGATATTAAGCTCTGCCAGAGTATCATTAGTTGACACTTAAGAAGACTAATGAAAATTAAAAATTCAATTTTCTCATTTAGATGTTTTTAATTAATAGCCTTTTCAATAATTATAATAATTCACATTTATAGAGTGCCATATAGTTTACAAAGCCTTGCAGTATGGCACAGTACGGTTCATATATGCCAAAGAGAGTCATGTTGAGGAAGCATGAAGGAAAATAGTTATTTCAATGTTTTCATCGTATTTGATAAAACTCTTCATGTTTCTTCCCAAAAGAATTACACTAGAGAGAGAAATTGTTTTATCATATATTTGCTCATTTGTGCAAAATATGACACAGCTGTAACCAAAGCTATGTAGATAGATGTAGATAAATGACATGTGCTTATTCTATTCTTCCAAAGATAATTTAGTGCCGTATACTTACTAGGGTGAAGAAAGGGAGGGAGGGGTCTTTTTGCTAGTTTGGTTCTTTACAAATAGAGCAAAGAGTGTGATGGTCTATATTCCATAGATGCCTGAGCCAAAAGCACTCTTGAGGCCGCTAGCCTCAGTTTGGAAGCAGATACCACCCTACCACCCTGCCTTTCCCCGTGTCACAAATATCGACCGGTTCGTTGGTTAATTCTTTGACTAAGACAGTCTTTATCAGTTCCCTTTGAAAGACAGCAATTATAGTGTGAATGTCAACTTGGCTTATATTAAGTCATCATAATTAACTAGACGTTTGTGAGACTTTTGGCTTTGAGATTTTTATTTTTGTTTTTAAAAAGCAGATTAAAAAAGAAAACTAGGACATAGAGATTGTTTACTAACACAGTGACCCATAGGTAGTAAGAGCTTAGTATAAAGATTTGGGACTTAACTGTTAAACCAATTCCCACTTGGACTATTAGATCCTATTTTTGCTTAAAATAAGCGAAAACACATGAGTATATGAGAGACATCTGTTAGGTGCCTGGGCTCTAAAATCAGGTAAGACCTAGTCCCCACATCCAGGGAGTTCAAGTCTACCGGCTGGTAAAGATACGTGAAGAGGCAATAGGGTGTGTTAATTGCTATTGCAGAGGATGTGCCTAAGGTACTGCAGTGGCAAATGGGTCGGCAACCAGCGCTGGGAACGAGGGAGGGCATCCCTGGAGAGGGTGAGATTGATTTGAAACCTAAAGGGAGGAAAGGGCAAAGGTTTTTTTCACCTGTGCTGTCCAGTGTGGGAGCCATTAGCCATGAGGCTAATTCAGCTAGTCCCAAATTTAGATGCACTATGAGTGAGATTGAATTTTGAAGACAGTACCAAAAAAAAAGAGTGTGAAATACTTCATTAATATTTTTTACATCAATGACAAGTTGAAACAATAATATTTTGGCTATGCTGAGCCAAGTAAAATATATTATTAAAATTAAATTTGTTTTTTTTTTTACTTTTTAAAATGTGCCTCAGAAAATTTAAAAGTTACATATGGTGCATTATATTTTTATTGGAAATTACTATTCCAGGCAGAGACTTTAGCTTATACTAAGTCTCTGGAAAAGAACAAGCTATATTGGGAAACTGCTAGTCATTTAATTAGAACACCAGGGTACAGGAGGGGCAAGAAATAAGTCTGGAGGGCTCCATGGTAGCCAGATCCTTGAAGGGTCCTTTAAGTCATAATAAAGATTTTGAAGAATATCTTGAAGGCATAGTGGAACTATTTAATGAGATTACCCGCAGGAAGTTTTTCTGATTGATTTCCTTCCTCAAAATGATCTGCTTTCTTGTGCCATAATGCATTTGCAAAATATATTTTTACGGGCTTGGAGATACAAGCAATGATTTTTGACTCATTTGACTAGATTAGCTTGAAAAGTCATTCGTGAAACAGCTAAAGGAACTAGGACAGTTTGCCTAAGTTGGTCGGGTAGGTGATTTCCATTCAGATTTCTGAGACACCCTTAAAGTAATGAATAAATAGCAAATTATATCTGGAATATCTTGGGTGCAGTGCTGGATTATTCATTAATTCAGATCAATTTTATAATCAGGGGAGCAGCAAAACAGAGGCTCCAAAAGGAAATGAGAAAAATAATGTTACAATCATGTAGTAGATAGTTTACAAAATTAGCCTTTGCTACCTTGTCTTGTGGTCTATAATATTGACTTGTTTTTGAGTTCCATAAGAAGGAGATGGTGGTTTAGGTCATCTATAAACTTTTTAGTATGTATGTGTCCAAAAGTCTTTATTCAGACCGACTTCAGTGCACCAAATCAGACAGCTAAGGAAAGACTAATAATTAGTAATTACACAGAATCATATGTTGTGGTTGAATATTGCCATTGTATAAGTTGCTGTTTTCCTCCAATTTCCATCTAAATGCTCTCAAAACCCAATTTATCCTCTGCTTTTCTCAGTCTCATAGGCTTGAAATAATTCAAGATATTGGAACTCTGGAAGCCAGAGTATAGTACTTAATGTCTAATTATATTAGCTCTTAGGTAAACTAACCTGGATGTATTCACATCTATCCAACCTAAGACACTAAGGAGGAGTATTCCTGGACCGTACTTGGATGGAAGTAACTTTGGTAAACTGAAAGCTATAGTTTTGTTTCTCCCCGAAAGTGTCTCCTAGTCGCGGTCACTTACTGAATGCCTACTGAATCAGATGGGTGTTACCAATGTTAAGGACAAGAGAAGAAAACGACAAAAAAGGAAACTTGTTTTGGCATCATGTCAGAGTTTTGGCCTTTGCTTCTATCCATTCACACCTTTTCATGGCCATTCAGCCCTCTCACTTTACCTTTTAGATAGAGGACCTATAGCTATACCATTCACGGTAGAAGTGGCATGGATTTTATCCACTCATCTCATCTATAGTGTTTGTAATATCCTTGGACTTTTTGAGGAAGTTAGGTTGTAACTAATCTGGAGGTGAACATAAATCTTTCATTGTCAAAGTTGACATGCAGTTTCCTTAGCATAGGAAGAGGGATTTTTAAATTATCCTCACTTGGAAATGTAGAATAAAAGTTCTGAGAACTAAAATCCAAATTATATCAGGCTGTTCCTTATTGTTACCTAACACTGCAGAGCATTTCAGTGAGATAACCCACAGAAAAGCATCAAGCACAGTACTTGGCACCTATTAGAATTTAGTAAATGTTAATCTCAATGCTAATTTCCTTTTCTTCTTAGTCAAACCCCTTTTACCAGGAGTTACTTATTTTTTGATGAGAAACAACCATTGTATATTTTCCCCAGCTAACTGGGAGGCTCTACACACTTTCTGATAAAGATTTTGATAATGCAAAGTCAGTTAATTCAGTCGGATTTATTTTTCTCTGTTCATCCCCTGTGTTTTCATATAATGAGGATTTACCATACCTGTTAATGCAACATAAATCTTCACTTTTATTATCCACCCCATCAGCACACTAGCTCTTGTGAAAATTGAAGCTAAAATATACTTGATAAATGTTCCTTCCTCCTCGATAGTGAAAACTGGTCTGAAAATCATTTTTCAAGGAGCTTTTTCCAAAGGTTTAGAGTTCCTCCAAGCTTTTAAGATGTTGGAAATGTTATTAAGCATTTTGATTTCTTTTCCTTTCATCTCCTGTTTAGAAATTAATGTCTTGAAAAATCGGCTGCAAATGTTAAGGTTTTTTAAAGATATGGAATCTATTCATCTGTCTAATAAAACTGCAACGTGTTAAAAATAATCAGTTTTTCACTAGACATTTTGGCCAATCTTGGAAAGATTTTTGTCTTTGCTTTTTAGACCTTCAGACGCCTTTTAATTTCATTTTTATCACTAGGAAAACCAAACACTCTAATCATTTTCTCAAATGAGAATTTCAACATGTATTCAATCTCTGATCTTCGTAAGATAGCAAGATGTGGTCGCATTCTTATGTTGCATAAAAGAAGATTGACAGTCAAATAGGTAATTTAAGTGATTGCGGAACAGCCCTTTGGATTTCTGTCTTTCCTATCTAGGTTGTGTCTTCTTTTTACTGCAGAATGTATCAGTATCCAATATAAAAGGTCCTCTGGTTTATCCTCTTTTGGGATTATTGTTGCATAGAGTTTCGTATAAAGAAGCAATTCGGAGACTATCCCAATATGTCTGCATATAGATGTGCGTATGGTCAATTTTCACTTTTACTGTGAATTTCCTTGAAGATGAACATAGGCTGTGTATATTCCCTTAATGGTAGATGAGCAATTTCTTTGTGATGGTTCAATTTCTTTCTCTCTCTTCTGCATTTCTCCCTCCTTTTCCTCTGTACAGTAGTAACCTTCCTAAAAACATTCATTAAAATAAATAAATAAATAACACTCATGCAAGCAGGCGCCAGGAAGTTTAGATAACTGTCCCATCAAATTCTGCTGTTTGGCTGGAGCTGGCTGCATAAATAGAACGGAATGTGATGTGATGATTCCCTTGCTCAAGTGTACAGCACTGCTCTGGGATGAGCCTCACTCTCCATTTATATTTATTGACCTCCAGGATGTGCTGGGTGCTCTGGAACAACACAATTACAGCCTTCAGTTGAGACATACAATCTACATGGAAGCGAATCAGGCAGCCCGCTCTGCTTGCTGTTCTTCATCTGGTCAGTTATGTAGGCTCAATGATTGCTGTCAGAGAATTGTGTTTTACCAGCTGTTTCAGTGGAGTGAGAAAAGTGAGAGTCCTTACACTTAAACCATAAAAGCAAATCATGGAAACCTTTGTTAGTACACTCAGCTGAGCTACCTGGGCAAGGTTTTTTCTATGATAAAGCACCAAATCTGGTTTTCATTCTCCATTGTCTTAGAGAGTCTCAGAGTAAGAACCACACTTAGTCACCTTTGATGTAATGAAGGGTATGGAGCTAGGTGTTAAAAGTGATTAATTGGTTGGCAATTGATTGATTTTTCAACAAATATTCATTAAGAAGACTCATGTTTGGGTACCCTTAAAATATAGTAGTCGATAGGACTGGTATGGTCTGTGCTTTCATGAAGCTTTCATTGTTGGGGGAGATAGACATGAAACACCAAATAAACTATTAATTATTTAATTACAATTGGGCACAGAACTACAAAGGAGGAGTGTTCTATCAGAGCAACTTGTAATAGAAAGCCGAACCTCACCTCAGGTCTCAGAAAGGAAAATGATTGTTGAGTTCACTGTAATTCTAGACAGTATGTGTATGTTGGTGGAGGGGAGGGAGAGGCAGTGTGGAAAGGGTATTCCAAGTAGCAGAGAAGCAGCTTGTGCAAAGCCCTTAGAAAAGGAAGGAGCACAGAACATACTAGGGACTGAGAGAAGATCAATATGGCTGGGACTAGAGGAAAGGAAAGAATGGGATGTGGGAGCTGAAGCCCAAGATGAAGATAGATCCGGACCCTGAAGGGCCCGGTAGGTTCTGTTCATGATTTAGGTCTTTCACTAAATGTTATGAGAAACTATTGAGATGTCTTAGATCTTAATTGGCATGATTGGATTCCTGTACTCTTCGTAAAGACTATTCTGACCGAAGCGAAAGAATAGTTTGGAGGAGGGTAAACACAGACACAGGATCCAAGTAAAGAGGCTGTTTTACTGGTCCAGAAAGAGATGCTGGCAGCTTGATTTAGGGGACATGCAATAAAAGAGGCAGATTTAGGAAGTAAAATTCAACAAGACTTAAGGAGTGTTTGGAAATGTGGAGGGGACTAAGTGGGAAGAATCACGGAAGGCACTTGGGTTTTTGTCCTGAATAACTGGCTAGATGGTGTTAACTTCACTGATACAAGAAAGACCCACTGGGAAGAGGCTGAACTACAGAGTTTGGTTTGGGTAATGTTGGTCTAGTTTGAGGTGCCTATGGGACATCCAACCTGAGATGTCAAAGAGATAGTTGTTTATTTGAACCTGAAGCTCAGAGGAACTTTCCTGATGAAAACGGAAATATGAGTGTTGCATATGGTAAAAGAAGAAACATGGATGAGCAAATCACCTAGGAGGATATGTATTATAGGGTCTGTGAATTGTTCAGTTACATTTCTCAAACATTTATTGAGAGTCCACTCTTTACCAAGTTCTTTGCTAAATATTGGGCACGTGAAATGGACATATGTTCAGTAAATAACATAGGACATCTCTTTTGCTTTAAGCCTAAATGACTTTTTACATCATCCAAGATGTAAAAAGATATTCTCAGCACATCCAGAGAAAACTCTTAGGCAGGCTAAATCTGTACCTTTGCCCTGTGTTTCCTAGTCTCTGCCTCCGTCTAACTTAAATCTCTCCAACCTTAAATTCATTTCATTCTTGTTTGCCATTGATAGACATACAAGCTAACTGGTAAGCACTTCGTTATACTAACTTCTTACATTCTTGGAAAACCTTTTCTCAGCTTGAGAAACATCATCATCTTTGGCCTTGTCTTCTTGGAATAAGAGATATACGATTACTTCTTACCCTAAGAATGCATTCTTGTTCTGTAAAAAGTGATCCATCTTCAGGCTATAAAATATTCTTCCCATATTTTGTAGGTTATAAATTGCTGTTGACTTTGAGATTATGATGATACTGACTCCACTTGTGAAAATTAGGCCACACCCTTCTCGTCTGTTCCTAAAATAAGATTCATTGGCAAAGTGAAATTTATAGCCTCTTTTATAGCTCTTATTCTTTGGAGACCCATGGCTTAAAATGGCCAGTATTTTAAGACTGTATTTTTAAAATTATTGTCTTTGGACCACCTGTATCAGAATCACTGGGGTGTGCTTGTTAAAAATAAAGATCATTGAAGCTCACCTTCCAAATTTTTTTAATACAGCTGGAATAAACCCAATAATTTGCATTTTTAATAAGCACCCCAGGTAATTTGTATTTATACTAGAGTTTAAGAATCAAGATTTTGAGGGGTGTCAAAATTTGTATGTCAAACTATCATGCTGTACATCTTAAAATTATACAGTAATGGATGTCAATGATCTGTCAGTAGAACTAAAAAATATGTGTATTTTATTATTACAATTCTGAGTTAGGGAGAAATTAAAGAGTTTTGCAAGCCAGGTCAGTTTCCTACCAATTTTGAAGATTAATAATCGAGTCACAAGTGTTAAAATATGTAATAGATATTATTCAGCTATTCAGTGATAAACAAGATTGCATTACACACATTTCTTCTATAATACATTAAATTTCATGTGACAAAGGAACAGAGATGGATAGAAAAAGTAGAAGAGAGTGATACTGAAGAAATGGAAAGTAAAACTTGGTTCAAGTGTAGTCTTTTGTTCAGGTTTAGTGTGTGTTTTGCTTTAATTGGCATGTTCTGGGGGGGTTCTCATTATGCATGATTGCACATTTATAAATGTTTCTAGCATTCAACTTCTTTCCTATCTTCAGAACTAGTAAGTGTCTTCTCACTTTCCCCCACTAGGAAGAACGCCGTGTGATTTATGTTGGTAAAATCAGACCTGACACAACACGGACAGAACTGAGGGACCGTTTTGAAGTTTTTGGTGAAATTGAGGAGTGCACAGTAAATCTGCAGGATGATGGGTGAGAATCTTCAAGATTATTTCTTGTTTAGAAGCTGACATATGTAAAAAATTATGGCCATAAGATTACTAGAATGGGAATGCTTTGACAGGTGACATGTTGAGTTCAGAACCTTATTTATTTTCTTTCATCCCTATTTATTAATCTTTCTAGTTGAGATTTCCTGTCCCAGAAATAAGTATTTAGCTGCTTGACAGGACAATCACACTGATAAATGGATGCAGTGGTTCAGACGTTGGCACCAGCGAAGTCTCCAAAGTAGAAAGGGTTACAGTCATATATGCTAATCCTTCCTCACTAACTTTGAACTTCTCTTCTTTGTCCGTTGCAGAGACAGCTATGGTTTCATTACCTACCGTTATACCTGTGATGCTTTTGCTGCTCTTGAAAATGGATATACTTTGCGCAGGTCGAATGAAACTGACTTCGAGCTGTACTTTTGTGGACGCAAGCAATTTTTCAAGTCTAACTATGCAGACCTAGGTATGGATTTTACCGTACATAAAATGAGGAATCCATAATGTAGAGCTCAAAATGGAAGCATATGTAAACTGTAGGCACATTGGGTTGGACCATCGCTTTATTTTACTAGAGGGAATATTTGAATACAGATTTTATCTTATTTTTTTTATTTTTTAAACACACTAGACAGTTTCAGAAGCAAGGGGCTTAAGTTTTGGCAGCAGAGAGAAGAAGCAAATTGTTTCTACTGTCTGCCCATATGCTGAAATTCTGCACTATTTGTATGTCTTTGTGTGTGTGTGTGTGTGTGTGTGCGTGTGTGGTATGTTTTGAGTGTGCAAGTGTTGTATTCGTTTGTAATCTTTTACTGCTTTCCGTGCCTACCCTGAATCCTTTTGTACAAGCTATAGCATTGGCATCATTGCTTTGCAGAATAGAATATGCAAAAGCCTTATTCTTTTTTCCTTATTATCTCACAAACTCTTAGAAATGTCAACATTTTCTACAAGTTACACCCAGAGAGGAGAAAGTAAAATTTCATGTGCTAAATCACACTGTACTTTCTTTAAAACAAAAGGAGAAAAAAAAACCCTGTTTTTTTTTAGTGCTTCCATATGCTAGGCACTGTGCCAAGGCTTTGTAAGCGTTTTCTCGTTTAATTACCAGAACAATCCTAGGAAGTGGATATTATCATCCCCATTTTACAGGTAAGGAAGCTGAAGAATAGATAAGTATTCCTTTTTGCCTGTTATAAAAGTTGTACAGACTCAAGGGGTGACATTTGGAAAATATGAAAAGGTATTAAGAAAAATAGTAAAATCACCTATTAGCCTATCACCTACAGATAACCAGTTACCTAGTATGGGATTTGCTGTTCAGTATTTTGTGTCAGAACATCAAATTTCTTGTAGTTGAGGTCATATTATACGTATATATACACTTTTAAGTTCTACTTTTCTCGATTAATATTATATAAGTTCATTTTCCACTGTGATTCAAAAGATCAAAAATAATTTACCAGTATACTTTAATGGTTGTATAGTATTCTGTCTGGCAAATAGTGCCATTATACTTAATCGTTCCATTATAGCTAAACACATTTTCGGTTTTTGATATTATAAATAATGCCACAATGGACATCTTGATTTCCTTTCCAATTTTAATTTTGTTCCTTTCCATGTTATTCCCTAGCTAATGTGTGTATTGTAAGCCTTTAAATTCCTTCATGAAATAATGAAGGAAAATGGCAAATGTCTTGTGCATATGACATAATTATTTAAATCAATTTATAATAATCATCATGAAATTAACATATAAATCTGCTCCTAAGCATTATTATATGTCTATCTGCACTTGCTTTGGCTTGGTATAAGGAAAAACATGAATACCAAATACAGGGCTTTTTTCTTCCTTCAGCTGAACTGATGTCTTCCTAGAGTAATTGATACAGGTGGGGTGCATTGTTCGGGAGGAATATGCTATAATTCACTTCACAAGCTAAATAGATAGTATGAAGCAGTGGAGAGACAGTTGACTGTTAAGAGAGATAGACGCCTAGGGATGAAAATATAAAAGGTGGCAAGTCATTTGTTCAAATGTTGGCTGATAAAAACAGTCCAGACAGATTGAAGTCTTGAGTTGATTTGACTTATTTTCTTCAGTGATGAAGGCCAGGGTGTTTTCTAGTCTCTCAAAACATCTAGAGTTTAGAATAAGCTACCTAGAGGGGCCTTTAGATCGTGATTCATCACTGGTAAAGTGAGCATGGGATAGTATTTCCAAATTGAACTGGAGCCTCCCTGAAATATTTCTAAGAAGAATGCTTCTCCTCTAGTTATCTCTCTGCCTTGCCAGCAGCAATAGAAACTTTGCCATTGCTAAGCTAGCTCTGATTTCCTGAAAGGTGTGTTTGATGTGTATTGTAATAGCATGGATTTTTCCGTTTCCCTCCAGCCTTACAAATGCAGGAAGTGGAGTCGATCTGAGTGTAGGCCTGGTGTAGTTGAAAGCGCCTTGGCTTTGGAATTTCGCAGGCCTGGTTTTGAAACCTGAGTTAGCTTTTTGACCTTGAGCAATTAAACTCCCTCTGCTTCTGGTTCTTCATTTGTAAAGTACATTATAATGTTGTTGTGAAGATTAAATATGTGTCTGTGAAGCCCTTAGCATAGTGTCAGTGTCTGGCAGAAAATAGATTCTCAATGAATAGTAGCTATAATTATAATAAAAATGATTGTTATGAGAAGTTATAAATTTGAAGTTATTTTAAAATGAAATAATCAACACCAGGGGCCAGCTTTGGAACCAAACAGCATCATATATGTCTTGTCTTTATTCCCTGAATAGTTGAAGTTAAGTGCCTCGGGCCATGAATGCTGAATAAGGTGCATATAAGCATATACTGGACTCTTAGAGGGGTTGGGAGCTTACGTGTATGTCGAGTAAAGTGAAAATGATGTGATACTGATTAATTTCACCAAAAGTAAAGCAACCTATCGTTTTAGATAGATTACCAATTTTTAAAATTTTTATTTGCTCTCCTAAATTAAGTTAGCTCACATATCCCGTTTCTCTGCTATTTTTAAAGTATAGTTAATTTACAATGTTGTGTTAGTTTCAAGCGTACAGCAAAGTGATTCAGTTATACATGTATATATATATTCTTTTTCAGATTCTTTTCCGCTATAGATTATTATAAGATATTGAGTAGAGTTCCCTGTGCTATCCAGTAGGTCCTTGTTGTTTATCTATTTTATATATAGTCGTGTGTGTCTGCTCATCCCAGTCACCTAATTTATCTCCCCCCCCCCCCCTCACCCCCCCATCCCCTTTGGTAGCCATAAGTTTGTTTTCTATGTCTGTGAGTCTATTTCTGTTTTGTAAGTAAGTTCATTTGTATCATTTTTTTTAGATTCAACATTTAAGTGATATATGATATTTGTCTTTCTCTGTCTGACTTCTTCACTTGGTATGATAAATTCTAGGTCCACCCATGTTGCTGCAAATGGCATTATTTCATTCTTTTTTAGGGCTGAGTAATATTCCATTGTATATATGTACCACATCTTCTTTATCCATTCCTCTGTCAGTGGACATTTAGGTTGCTTCCATGTCTTGGTTATTGTAACACTGGGATACATGTATCCTTTCAGATTATGGTTTTCTCCAGATATATGCCCAGGAGTGGGATTGATGGATCATATGGTAATTCTATTTTTAGTTTTTTAAGGAACCTCCATACTGTTCTCCATAGTGGTTGTACCAATTTACATTCCCACCAACAGTGTAGGAGGGTTCCTTCTTTCTCCACACCCTCTTCAGCATCTATTATTTGTAGACTTTTAAATGATGGCCATTCTGACTGGTGTGAAGTGACACCTCATCATAGTTTTGATTTGCATTTCCCCAATAATTAGTGATATTGAGCAGCTTTTCAGGTCCCTGTTGTCCATCTGTATGTCTTCTTTGGAGAGATGTCTATTTAGGCCTCCATTTCTCTGCTGTTGAGGCCACTTAATGGTTACTTACAATACTATTAGTGCAAAACACAATGATTCTAGTTACTATTTATGAGCCAGATTTATAAATGAGACTCAGAATTTAAAGGGATGATCAGCTTATCATGATGAAGCCAATATTTAAGTCTGGTTTCTATGAATCTGTAATCTGTGTGTCTTTCTGTTTACTGTTCTATAAACAAATAGATCTTGCCATTTGAAAGAGCTTGATGAAAAATCTCAAAGAGGAAAGACAGAAATTAAATTAGGACTATAGGGTCAAAATAGAAGGATGGGTCACGATTTAGAATATGATCATTTTGATCAGGAATTAGTTATGGCTTAGAATTTGTAAATAATAAAAAGTAAACAAATAACATTGGTCACAGACTCATTATTAACTCAAAGAAATGTAGTATATTATCAACATCTTGAATGCATATGTAACTTTACATATACCCTTGCCGTTCATTGGTAAATCAATCCCAGATCTAAACACAAATATTTTCAATCACGTTTTTAATAATACATGGGCGTTCAAGACTAATACATTCATTAGACAAATACTGAGTGCCTACTTTGTGCCAACAGTTTTCTAGGTGCTCGGAATACAGTTGTGATGTGATTTGTTTCTATTAATACAGTATTATTAATTATAAAAATTTATTTTTTTAATTTGTTAGCAAATTTTAATTTGTTATAGGTTATTCCTATAAAAATTTCATTATCTCTTACTTGTGTTGCAATATCCTTCCTTTAGTGGAGGGAAAGGGGTGGAGTGGATGTTATTGCCACAGGAGTTGCATATAAACACATTGTCTCTTTAAGAAATGAGAAAGATTTTGTGGGTGCCGACTGGCATAGTGTGCCCATGAAAGTTGGTATATACGTAAGCACCATCCACTGTATTTCACAGTGTAGAAACTCTTGAAATCCACTGTATCAAAGTGCTTTTAGTATTTACTAGTGAAAACCCGGAAAATTCTGGGTTTCATGTAGAATGATCCCAAATTAAGACATTTTAAGTATTCTCAAAATCTCTTCCGAGGAAAGATACACATATATATTCTCGACGGTTCTATGCTGACTTTATGTCACACAGACTGCCATCACTGGACAGCTCTTCCGTCTTCATCTGCAGTGCAAGTGGAATTCTGATTTCAGGCTAATCTCTGACAATGAGCAGGACTTTTTATTGTGTCTAGAGAAAAGATTTTGATTTGAACAACAGCTGCTCATGAGGCTTTGGTTATACAAGCAAATTATTCATTAGGCTATGAAGAGAAGAGTGTAAGCCAGTGTAATTTAAGATTGACCATATAAAATTTTAGTGAGGAAAGGTGGGCCATTTTTGTCCTGTTTTTATATCTGAGGCGGACGATAGTTGTTCATCTTACCTGGAAAAAGAAATGTAGTAAAGACAAGGGATGGTGAGAATGAGGAAAAAAAAAAAAAAGTGAAGGAATTTCCTTGTCTTTAAAGTAGATTGAAGCTGGTGGGGAAGGGGAATCAGCCTGGTTCTGGAGAGCTTGAGGGATTTGCAACCTTTTCAGAAGAACACCTTGTGAGGTCAGTGATTAGCCCCCATATTATCTAGTATTACCTTTTTCTGTCACCGAGCATTTCTATTTTGTAATTTAATCTGGGTAAAACACAAATATTTATATTTTAGTAAGATGGTTAACGTTTCCCAGAAAGGTTTAGTCTTCTCTTCTAGTAAGTGCTTTCCAAAGAATGAATGTGTTTGCCAGAGGCTTTCTATTGTATTTCCAAGATACCTTTTCTCAAGCTGAGAGGCCAGCAGAAATAGTTGACTTTTCCATAGATGTCAAAGGAGAAAAGTCAGACATATTTGACAGAATTTTACCTTACGTCCAACGTGGCTGACATACATCCATTTTGTTCAGGGCTACTTAAAGTGGCATGTGGAGCTTTGCACAAAAGCTTACTTGGACTAGTTTAAGGATCTAAGAAAGACCATGGCTTTATTTGTACGGGTATATTTTTCCTCTCCTATTAGTGAGTAAAGAGGCTGCATTTGCCCTCTCTGGACATGAAGCATTTTCCTAAACCTTCTAATTTGGGGAGAGTTTGTGCCACTGTTGCTGGGGTCCCTCAGGGTACTGGAGATCGTATGTCCCTCCCTCCTGAAAGGGGAGCAGCAGGGTGATGAGTGGGTGAAGTTCTGACAATTATCTCTCTCCCACTCAACTGGCTTTCATGCTCAATGAAATCAATCCCACTGAATAGGAAAATTAGTTCCAGCTTCTACTTTTACGTCTCCAACTAAGTGGTTGAGGAACCTTGGGTGAGTCACTTAACATGCCAGGAAGGGAGAGGGGGCTTATTTTTAAAGCATATTGATTGACTAAGTTGCTATTGAAAAGAAACATTAAAGTCTGTTCTGATTACCTCCAGGAGTGTTTAAATCTAAAATGAGTCAATAGATGACTGTTTTGAATGCTCATCACTCCTTACCCTCTGCAAAGATATACATGTGCTATAAATAAATAAATATATAAATATACAATGAATTAACTAAAATATTGGTGTGTATATATATACCAGTACCATATACTGTAAAAATACCTTCTGCAAATATATATATACATATTAATATTCATATATATAAATACCTTCTGAAAAAATATATGTAAATATATGCATATATATATGTGTACACCAACATCAATATCATATACTAATAAAAGTTGGGCATATTTTTTAAAGTATATCGATTGGATAAGTTGCTCTTGAATCAGGTAATCTTAGATTAGATGATTGAGTTAATGACCATCAGCAGAGGGTACATCTAAATCTGGCTTGGGTTTCTTTCAGATTCAAACTCAGATGACTTTGACCCTGCTTCCACCAAGAGCAAGTATGACTCTCTGGATTTCGATAGTTTACTGAAAGAAGCCCAGAGAAGCTTGCGCAGGTAACATGTTCCCTGGCTGAGGATGACAGAGGGACGGTGAATACCTCACGGGACAGCGCGTCCTTCCCTAACAGACTGTTGCAAGTCATACTTAGGAATTTCTCCTACTTTACACTCTCTATACAAAAACAAAACAAAACAACAACAACACAACAAGAACAACAACAATGGTTTACATGAATACAGCTGCTGAAGAGGCAAGAGATAGAATGGAAACCCAGTAAGCACATGTTTATTTATGGGTGTCAGCTTTGCTTTCCCTGAGTCTCTTGGTGATGGAGTGTGTGTGTGTGTGTGTGTGTGTGTGTGTGCGCGCACGTGTGTGTTTGCCTGGTTTGCAGGAAGTGTGTATGTACAGGTGGGGACTGGGGGCACCTGACCAGAGCGTGCAAGGGCAAACCACTTCAAATGGCAGCAGTTCCATGAAGACACACTTAAAACCTAGAACTTCAAAATGTTCATATTCTATTCAAAAGGAAAAAAAAAAAATGTGTACATCCAAAAGGAAAGAAAACCAACCAACCACAAGCCACCCTAAAATGACAGCCACTGATGTCTGGGCATCAGCCTCCGTACTCTGTTTTTCTTAAGAAAGTGCAAAATCTACTTGAAGCAAGCTTTCTCTCATAATGTAATGATTATATGACAATCCCGAAGAAACTGCAGGTTCCGTAGAACTCATATCCTTTCTCTCTCTCTCCCTTTTTTTCTTTCTTTTTTTCCTTTTTCCTTTTGCCATGGAATCTGGGTGGGAGAGGATACTTTGGGCACCGAGCTCAACTTTCCTAACATTTTGAAGTTTCTGTAGTTCGTCCTTTCTCATGACACCCATGTAAATGTCCAAAATGTTGATCTTCCACAGCGAATTTCAAAAGCCTTGTCAATGGTCAAGCTTGCAGCTTGTTCAGTGGTTCTTTCTGAGGAGCGAGCACGGTGTTACATTACTAATGGGAGTTGGGTAGAACTCTCTGGGATGTGTTCAGATAGTATAATTGCTACATTCTCTGATGTAGTTAAGTATTTACAGATGTTAAATGGAGTATTTTTATTTTGTGTACATATGATACAATGATGTTCTTTTTTTGTTACAGCTATGCACTGTAAATGCAGCCTTCTTTTCAAAACTGCTAAATTTTTCTTAATCAAGAATATTCAAATGTAATTATGAGGTGAAACAATTATTGTACACTAACATATTTAGAAGCTGAACTTACCGCTTATATATATTTGATTGTAAAACAAAACAAACAAAAAAGGACAGTGTGTGTGTCCGTTGAGTGCAACACAACAAATCGATGCTTTACGCACAACCATCCCTTCTTAGGTGAGCTTCGATCCAAGCATCTTGTCAAGAAATCTCCTAGCCCCCTAAAGGTATTAACCACTTCTGCGATATTTTTCCACATTTTCTTGTTGCTTGTTTTTCTTTGAAGTTTTATACACTGGATTTGTTAGGGGAATGAAATTTTCTCATCTAAAATTTTTCTAGAAGATATCATGATTTTATGTAAAGTCTCTCAATGGGTAACCATTAAGAAATGTTTTTATTTTCTCTATCAACAGTAGTTTTGAAACTAGAGGTCAAAAATCTTTTTAAAATGCTGTTTTGTTTTAATTTTTGTGATTTTAATTTGATACAAAATGCTGAGGTAATAATTACAGTATGATTTTTACAATAATTAATGTGTGTCTGAAGACTATCTTTGAAGCCAGTATCTCTTTCACTTGGCAGAGGA